GAAGGCGAAGACGCAACGTCGAGGCGAACAACAAGCATGGACCATCGACTCGGATCACCGGCTCTGAGGAAGACGAAGACGTCGAAACGTTAGCCGAAAATAAATATATTTATCAACCTCGTGCAAGCTTATCAAGAGAGAATACAAATTTCCACTCAGTTGAATAGCACAGGAAAGACAAAAAAGCTCGACAAGTGGGTACCGCACGAATTAAACGATAATCAAATAAATTTCTGTTTTGAAGTGTCGTCTGCTCTTATTCTTCTCAAAAGAAAACGACCCACTTCTTGATCGGATTGTGATGTGCGATGAGAAGTGGATTCTGTACGACAACCAGAGTCGTTCAGCTTAATGGTTGGATTGCGACCAGGCTCCACAGTACTTCCCAAAGCCGAAATTGCACCGCAAAAAGGTTACGGTGATTTTTTATTGGGCTTCAGCCGGGCTGATTCATCCCAGCTTTTTGAATCCGGGCGAAAAGATTACGGCAGAGAAGTGTTGCCAACAAATCGACAATGTGCACCGTAAACTCCAAGAAAAATGACCGGCATTAGTCGATAGAAAACGACCAATTCTTCTCTACGATAACAGCTGGCCTCACGCTGCCGAACAAGCGCTGTAGAAGTTGAACGAGTTGAACTACAAAACGTTTCCTCATCCGCCATATTCATCAGACTCTCGCCTACCGACCACGACTTCTTCAAGCATGTTGACAACTTGTTGCGCGAGATATACTTCACCAAGCACGATAACGCAAAAAGTGCCTTCAACGAATTCATCGCTTCCAGAATTCTAGGCAACTGGAGCAAACAAACTTACTTCTCATTGGCAAAAACATGCAGATTCAAATGGTTTTTGTTTCGGTTAATAAAGTTTTGTTTAAAGCAAGTTATGACATTCCAAATAGTATGGTTAAAAACGCTCATTTATTTCTGAACAACCTAACATATGTACACATATATACATACGTATATAGGATACTGGATGAAAAAATGAATATTGTATGTAAATATGTACATGTCATATATAAATAAATAAATATATATATATGCATCCATGGATAAGCTGCCCTGGAGATGGCTGCTGCTGCTTTCTCCATTCCTTACGATAAGGCTCAAACACACATGTATGCGGCCACTTACATATTTGCTCAGCTGGAAAGGCTATACTAAAAAAAGTTTCTAAATCACATGCGGAAAGGCGGACTTTATGTCATGTAATTTCCATTATATCGTCGCACTGAAAAACTCACTAGACATCATCCACATCACAAACTTCGACAACTTTTGTTTAGGACCGGTGTTATTTGACTTGCAACTATAGTTCATGCATGAGAAACCCTCCAGCTTCTACACAACCTGGGATTTGGGTGGCCAATAAAAATCATGATTGTATTACCAATCGGAATTGTTTGCTTGGAACAAGTTTTTAAAAAATGTGGAGGTCACATTTTCTATTTACTGCCTATTTATTTTATGCCTACTATGATTTCGCGGCAGGGTACTAAGCGAAATACAACCACAAGGTTGGTGAGATATTTGCAAAACTCTGGACCGCAATAAAAAGGTACAACATTGTGATTTCAACTACAGCCGCAGCTTAAGTGGGTTCCATGCCGATTTGGGCGTCCCAGATCAATCCCGCTGACGGGTGATTGCTGTGGCAAAGATCGATAGAAATAGCTGAGAGACAGGCGAAATAAAGGACCTGCATGGTGTGGTGGTGATCGCGTTACTCCCCGGAAAGGACAACAGCGCGTTCGTTCCCCACCATAGACACCTGCAGTCCAGAGTTTTGCAAATATCTCAGCAACGTTGTGGTTGTATTAATGCCTATTATTTTTCACGGCAGGGTATGATATGAAAGTACAACTACAATGATTCCGAGATATTTGCAAAACTCCGGACTGCTGGTGTTTGAGGTGGGAACTGAACACGCTATTACCATTTCCGGGGTCTAATACGTTCACTACCAAACCATGGCGGTCTTTCGTTCCGCCTTTCTCTCAGTCGTGTTTAAATCTACAAAAACCTTATTATGGAAGCGCTTCTTCACAAGCCGAATATGGAATACCGATAATTGGCATTATAATTAGTGAAGAATGTAGAACCATGACCTTACAGTATTTGTTCGTGCCCTATGTAACAGTAATAAAATCCATAATCGACAAACACGATTGTTGTTCTGACAAATCTTGTAACAATAGTGGCTTTAACCCGTTTATTTAGTGCCTTTTTCTTTTTAATGGCAGGGGATGTTGCGAAATATAACTCGTATATAGTGCTGAGATATTTGCAAAACTCCGGATCGCAGGTAGATGAAGTGGGGAACGAACACGCTATTGTCCTTACCGGGGAGCAGCGCGCTTCACCACCACACCATCCGGGTCTTTCGTTCTGCCTGTCTCTCAGCTAGTTCTATCGATCTTTTGCCATCAGCAATCACCCGTCAACGGGATTGATCTGGGGAGCCCAAATCGGCATTGAACCCAGTTAAACTGGGGCTTAGCTATAATCACAATCTTAACCCTTTTATTTACTGCCTTTTTCTTTTTTTAATGGCAGGATATGTTGCGAAATATAGGTGGTGTGGTCGTGAAGTGCTACTCGCTACTCTCCGGAAAGGACAATAGCGCGTTCGTTCCCCACCGCATACACCTGCGGTCCGGAGTTTTGCAAATATCTCAGCATTATGTACGAGTTATAGTGGCTTTAATCATAAACCGCTCAAGATGAGATCGTTGATTCACCTTACGCAGTATGTCTAACAAAAGAAAGTCTTATGAAAAAATTAGCCGACCTTCTATAAAACTATCACTGGGCTTTCCGTATGGTGTAGTCACTTGCACTTCTTTAGCATCCTTGAAAAATTGCGGATCTTCAAGACCAGATCCACCTATGATTCCCACTTTGAATGGCATCACGGATCAAAGTCCTAGAAAAAGCTTTAAATTACTGAGAATTCATCATTATCTCCATCATAGAACAATACGACGACTAAAACGAAAGTGTTGTGGTATTTTTTAAATATGATTCAGTTTCACATCTACTATGCGGATACAAACACTCTTTACATCAGATTCGCTTCCTCTCATCCGTCGTTCACGAACGTCTCCGAACTTTTACGTGTGGGTTCGTTTGTTGCTTGAGGATTTCTGTTCTTTTTTTTTTTATCAATACTGCTTAGTGCTGACCGAGTTCATTCTAACTGGCGCCCTGGGACAGCGATGCAAGAGTGTCCCCACGTAGACTCGAAGTGGTGAACTGATCCCTAATAAGTCTGCTAGTAATTTCCGATCCCGAAAAAGTGGCAACGTTAGTGAACCTGGGGCGGTCCCTCGTCTGGCAATTAATAATACAAAATCAAGCACATTTCAACTAGTTATCAAGTCGAGCTGTTTATAAACGCGTTTGCTGAAATGATCTGCACAAGCCGCTTCAATCGGAGTAAACAACATAGCTGATGTAAACTAGCCACTGGACCTGAATACTGTCCAACTACGTGGTTTCCTTATCGAAATTCGAACCATTCGTATCAAATCGAAACGTAACGTACTTCTTGACATCATATGTTGCTTCAACAGGATTACCAAGGTCTTGATGAAGCCTCAACTTTAGCCTAAGCAGTGTTTTCTAAAAAAACCAACAGAAGAGATTTAACGAAAGCTACAGAAGATCTGCAACAGGTGCCAAATACAGCTGAAAACTCGTTAACACTTAGAGCCCAGTATGAGTGCTGATTTTTAAGCATAAATAGAGCACATAGTGACCATTATAAGTTGTTATGCACCCACTTCACTCCTACTACGTATTCTACCACCCAAAGAGCTTCTGCCTATGAAACATTGACAGAGGAAAGTTAAAACTATTTCATATACATCGGAACTTATGCAAAGCAGCTATTCGTATGAACTTATTAGCCCGACAAGGTGAGTGTCTGGGTCGGAAAAGGTACTAACATGTTCTTACACAGATACACTATGCAAGGAGTACCGATATTACCGACATACATCCACAATACGTTGTTGAACCGGCTACGAAAATTGACCTCATCGTGTTTTAACTAGTGGATGAATCGTTTTTATTCAGAGTTGGAAGACTTCGAAGAACACTGGAAGATGTGTACAGCTTAGAACATACATCGAATAGTTTCCAGGATCGACTTTCTATTAACCTCGGCATTGGATTATAAATGCGTCGCTTACTTGTTTAGCAATCGCAAAGTTCTTCTGAAGAAGGCGGTGCTGCCGAAACGTCAGCTACTCCTGTACTGTGTGTTTTTATATGGAAGTAGATGTAAGCTGTGTGACAACATCGCGACTGCCGAACAAGTAAACGACGAATTCATACATCTGAATCTGAGACATGATGAATCTACTGAAAATACTATGGAAACCGAACTTCTGAAGAGAAGACAGAACAGGAAGGAAAGTGATACTTCTTGGATGGTAGAATGATCCGTTCCAGACGTGTCCTATCCATTGTATACACTGCCACAAAGTGGGCGTCGTTTAATTAAATACGGCGAACGCAAAGAATAAAGTATCGAACCCTAAGTGCTAAACAGGTAGACAGCTAACTGTACTTCGTAAAAAGCAGAATAGAAAAATGTATTATCTAAAAGTACCGCATTTTTCTAAGAGTCAACATTCTTGTCTTATCTTTCATGCACATAGCTTCGCGTTGTCAGTGGCTATGGCAAAAGCGTAAAGTCGATAACCCTTCTATTCATTGACCTTGAACGTGATAGATCGCCGGCTCAGTTTTCTTACGATTTTATGATTACAGAATTAAGAGGCACCCTGTTATACTTAGAGCTTCAAACTCCCTAAATAACTTAGTGTCACTCCATGGGTACTGAAGTGAATACCACACGCATGTTTGCTTAACACTTCCGCTACGACACCTAATTTCGGTACCATTCCAGAATGGACGTCTGATTTTTCGCTGTGCTTACTGCGACGCCTGTGGATTTCACACCGGCGACTACGGTAACTTCAATGCAGCGCGTTCCTTTTTGTTGTGATCTCCGTCCTACAATTGACTGATTAGTCGTTGGCTGTGGTTGAATGCATAACTGGCACTTACAGTGACTCGCAGTGGCCTACCGAAGCATTAAGTCAGTGTTGCTGTCCTCCTGTCCTCGCAAACTTATCTGGTAGCAATTTACAGGTTCCGTAAGGATGGAAGCTTTGGTGAGCCATGTTCTGCGGGACCGATCCCGAGTATTGCAAGGCGCCTCCAACCACTGCGCTACACACGCTTAACAACAGATGCAACTACCACAAGGGATATTTTTTTAATGAAATGTTCCAAACATCACTTATGAAAATCCCGGTGGAAACATTCCATTACTACTGCATCATGAATGCTTCTCAACAGTAGTTCACTTAATAATCTCAACTATGTTCACCTTATAAACAAATAAATATCTGCCGAATTTTTATGTTACATCTATGTCGAATATAAAACAAACTACTAGTGAACGGAGACGCCTGTCACCGTCGTTAATCCTAGTCAACTGCCTCGCAAAGAAAAAACACGTTAAGCACCCGACGGTGGTTGTCGAGATTCTCGTGTTATATCGAGCCCATTCCGAAAACGATGTCATGGCGACACCACCGCAGCTAACAAAACGTGTTTGAACAGAATAAAGGCGAGCGAAGTTGACAGTCATCATCAACACACCAACGTCAAACACCAGGCATCATCTCTGAGAAAGGTTATACTCTAGCACGGAACAAATATAATCATCAACTAGAAAGTAGAAAAGTAGAAGAAAAGGGAGAAACGACCCATCGAGCATTACCACACTTAACATGTAATGATTACAAAGAAGAACTGAAACAATTGCATACCTAGTTAACAACAACAGAACGTACTCTGTGAATGAAAACCGATTGCAACAAGCAGATGGAAGAACCGAGACAACAACATGAATGTTAATCAATTTCATTACTGTACCATTATTTAATATAATGAAAGGACACCCAGCTTTCGTAAGCACACGAATCGCAAGTAAGCACTTTGACCTCAGCAAAACTGGACGAAATGAAGGACAAAAGCAGCAAAGGTACACGTCAGAAAATGAGTGGCTGAAAACAACAAATGTTGACAATCATACCAATGAAAGTAGTCATATAGAGCTCTATAATCTATAGTTGAAATGACCAGCGACAATGTGATACCATATCTATACCGAAATAGAATCAAACGTATACAATACGAAATATATTTACCAAATAACAGCATTCTATTGTTGACATATGCTTGTATATATGCTAGAACGATCGATAAAGTGAAAGATTATAGAAGGGCAAATATCTGACGAATAATTACGCCGCATGAGGAGCATAATGATGGGCCTACAACGATTTGACTAGTAAGACACCTGCCTTACGGCTGAACCGTATATAGCCACTTGATAGATCAAGTTTTAGGCAAAACTCAAAATATTGATTGTGAAACGCAATATTATCTATATATAAGTGTGGTAGCTTAGATATGATGAAAGATGTGTCATGAAACGACGAAGGTTGCAACAATATAAGGGAATAGAAATTATGCATGGCAAGACATTAACAGCACGCCGAAAACCTAGTGTGTTCTCGTAAGGCCGCAACATATGACGCTTTTTTGCTGAAGCATGCACATAGCCACCATGACGGTAACGGGATAAACATGTTTCACTTCATTCCATTAGAAAGAAAAAGTCAATAGCTAGCTATCACTGATGCAACACTGCATACAGATCTTCAAACCCAGGTACATCGGGATGGCACGCCCGTAAGGCATTATCCAACTTCATTTGATCAATATTCCGAAGAAATGGTAGCTCTGCTGAATACATGAATGACGACAGCGCAGCATGATCCTGCGGATCTACTTTTGCATTCATCTCAGCCTAAAAAGCCAATCACCGTTGTACGGTACCAAATTATTCCTAACTAGAAAATAAGAGCAAGGAAACAGGCCCATGACGACGTGTTGTAAGGATGAGCAAGTGTTCAAAAATTTTCAATCAAGTCATAATGTTCATAGGGTATAAGCTAACGAAACCACTACGTTAAAGAAACACTGAAGTCGAAAAGTTTCTTTTTTAAAAAAATTTAAAAAAGAAAAAAAACGTGAAACTGTAAACGAACCATCCGTTTCAAAGAGATGACCAACAATTCGTACTTCTTCTCCTTTCGATCATCTTTACCAGCTTCAAGAAAAACATCAGTAAAATCCTTAAACGAAGGTCTGACACCAGAAATAAGAGTTGTATCGCAGTACACAGCGTTCACCAACAACTAAAAGCATCGCATCAAAAAAGTGGTTTTGAAACCTCCGGAAACAAAGAAAAAACCTCAGCCAGTCTGCTCCAGATATCAGGAATATCCATCCACATCTCCGCTTCAACAGCAAAAGTGCAATATCTAGCAATTCTGGAGCACAACTATTTAATTTAACACATGAAGCAGTTTCAGAAAAGAACTGACCCTGCAAGAGCCTCCGATTTCGTTTCAGCGGACTGCAGTGCTAAGCACAAGATATGCCCTAGTTTTGGAAGAAGAGGTTTTCGCACCTAAATCAACGGTTGCAATAGTTATGTTGCATACTGCATTTGTTCTTCCGCAACATTGCTGTAAACAGATGAAACGTAAGAACTTCACAATCGTACCTTCTCAACGGCAAATTCAGTAAACCGAGAGAAAATTTCGTTCACATTTGGACGACCATATGCTTCATGATTTACCATTTTAAAGATTTCAGCAACACACTATAGTTGAGAAAATTATACGGAACTATGCTATACGCAGCAGAAGTAGTGAAGACGGTTAAACGGAGACGATTACCACGAACCTCGTCCAACTTCATATTGCAACAATCGTAGTTTTCTAGTAAATTAACAATTTCTTTACCAATTTCCCTGTACAGTTGTTCTTGTAATGCCTTCATCTCCTCGGAATCTGGCTCCTGTAATAGGTGGAATTCCAACAGATGTCCCTACGGAATCACTCCATGTTTCCATGATCGATATATTGAAACCACTTTGATCTCATCTCAGCGTATAAACAAAAGCCTTCAAAGAGCGCTACCAAAATTTCAGAAAATAATCTTCAATGCTAATATAACAACTTTCTACTAAAAGAATCAATACCCTGGTTGGAGTTTGAAAAAAGACTGATTTAATTAAGATTTTAAAAGATAATAGAGCTCACAGGAGTTATTTCGGCTTTACCGCTGATAGTTGTTCTCGATACAACCTTTTCGTCCACCGAAGAATTCTAGAATTAACTCCAATAAAAATACAAGGCAGTCAAATTAGTATTAAATAACCATATACACAATATGATTACTAACTTTTCGCGGAATTTCATCCCTGCCTTTTTGCCATCCAGACTTCAAAGACTCCGTGGTCGAATTTCCACCACCTCCTGATCCTTGATGCCACGTTTTCCTATTAGAACCACCAAGTGAATTATCGCCCTGAACACTGGATCACTTAAACAAAAAAGCAAACACTGTGGGTAAACCACAATATTTAAAATGAACCTTCAATAACAAGCTAACATTCTTCGGCTGCACACTTGACGGCGTCTGCTTCGCTTTAGATGCTGCAATTGACCGTCTATCTCCTCCTTTACTACCTCCACCAAACCTGTTGTCAAGGGAATTTCTTGATACTGGTGGGTTACGACCATGCTGTGATGTAGTGCCGCCTGTTCGCAACTTTCGATCGTACTGGAAATTACGAAAAAATCGCATCAAAACTAAACCTCTAACCTCAATGATACGTATTTCAAAACAATACCAGTCATAATTCATAAACAAGTGTCATAATTCACAAAAAAAATCCCTGCACACATGGTGATTTGGGCGAATACTCTAGAGATGTGTAATACGAGCAACTGAGTATCACTGTTTTTGCCGTTTCCCTTTTATTTCTTTCTGTTGTTTGTTGCTTTCGTACCTTGCATCTTTGAATGCCATGTTGTATTTTTTGTTGAACAAGTAAAAGCGGGTACTTATTTAGAGGCTATTAAACCCAAATATTTCAAACTAATATCAAATTGGGGACCCATTAACATGGCCATGCCGGAATTCCAATGGAAACGACCATCGACCAGCACTTCTCAATTCCTTATCAGAAGAGAGTCATTGTAGTTTATTGCCATTCAAGTCAGCAACAGACTAAGGGACTTCTAAGCAAGAGTGGGAACGTCACCAGAAGGAGAATGCAAAATCGAAGGATTCCCAACGCGAACAGAATTGAAACACGAAAAAAGACCCCCACTGTTGGACATGAGAATCTCCGAAGATTCGGCTATTGCAGAGATCAACAACCACATCCTTGTCAATAAGAAATATTCACGTTGGCATCGCGACAAATAAACTCACCGTTTTCTGTGAGCTAAGATTCATATTAATCCACAAATTGAAACGAAGTCGTCGAGAAAAACGAAAAAAAAATCAAGTCGTAAAGAAGGAATTCATTCCTAGCGACGTCATAAGGAGCAGAAATGTGAAAGTATAACCGATGAATACAACTAACTCCAAGCTCTTCTTAGTTCCAAAAAAAGCTGTATTATCAAACAGTACCAAAAAGTTTTTGAAAAACAATGAATTTGCAAATATGTAATATTCCGATACGCATCAGACGATGGTTATGGAGAGACGTCAATCCACATCAACAGACAGCATGAAGAAATAACGCTAAGGCCATTGCAACACCAACATTCCCCTGCTCTTGTGGACGAATATAGGTGAACCGTCGGATGAAAAAATTGAAAAAAAAATTGCAAACAAATATTTACTGATAAGCCATACATTGCCATAGCTTACCCTCCCTAGAGAAACAAATCCACCAACATATAGAGAAATTCTCCATCAAATAGAGAATTTTCTATCTACCTAACAAATATAATTCGCAAGTCGATAGAAGACATATCTCGTAACTGCATGTAATCTATTGTGTAGTATAATACTTGTCACAACGCCTGCGTGTGCGCCCTATATCCACATCCAATCTTAGCCATAGGGTACGACACTAGATACAGCATCTCGTTGCCATCAGGCACACCAGCACGCATGCTACCAGCACGACTCAATCGCTTAAGGACTAGACCTTGCGACCCGTGCCACTCGCTTGGATCTAGTCACGGCCTTTAGCATTGCCATTCGCCTTCCGAAGACTCGTGACGATCGCTAGCAATGACGCTACTACTCCACTATTCTGTTATTCTACTACTCTTTATTCCACCGGGCCAGTCAACACTCAACAGCCTTTCGTGCAGAAATTTGAGCACGGACAAAATTTCAGCTAACAACGAGCTGATTTACATCATTCACACATCCCACTTGCAGTGAAAATGTAACACCTACAAGCAAAAGGAATGCTTAACTTAATAGAAGATTTCGTGCAGTCTGAAAAGAGCAAAAACGATGGCCTTTGCTACTGGATACTTCACTGCCAGCTTTATATCCAAAATAAAGGACAATCAGGACTTTACTGTGAAACTGCTTATAGGGACTATGTATAAACGCCCTCAACAGTCATACCGGTCCTCCAGGAATAGTACATACTTCTTTTCTCAACTTTTGTTAACTACTAAGGAACTTTTTATAGTGTGGCCCCTCGGGCCATGTTGTCCGATTTAGATGAACAAATTATAAACCTATGTGCCTGCTTAAGAACGCTTGTTTATTGAGACAATCAATATAGAACAACAAATATTCTTTCATAAACCGCTCACTATTGCAACTGCAACATTACAACAAATTCCTTAGGTTATCTAATCAGAGATGATGACGCAATACATGTTGAGGAACGACAGGTCTCCTATCTCTGTCAATAAAACCCATTTTTGAAGAACGCACTACATCCTGAGCATATCTGGAACATTTTCATAGCAAAGCGAAAAACCAGTCCGATCCCGCACGAGCATGTCACAGCTCTCATTCCACTAGGAGCTTTCATATCCAAAAAATTTGGTGACTGTTCTGGTGAAGAACCCCTTAGCACAACTATACCAGTATTTCATGAAGAATCGACTTGCCAAAAAATGAACTGAATGAAAGAAATGTTGAAATCCTCACAATATGTGATGTCGAGATGTGTAAAAACGAATAGGGAGAAACCTCCAAAAAAAAAACGATCAGTACAGACTGAATCCATATTCCATATCTCAGCATTGTTGTGGTTGTATTTCGCATAATACCCTACTGTGATAAATTGTAATAAGCGGCAAATGAAAAGTAAAACATTGGGATTTCAACTATAGTCTCAACATAACTGGATTCATTGCCGATGCACTGATCGATAGAACCAGCTGAGAGATAGGCGAAACGAAGGACACACATGGTGTGGTGGTGAATGCGTTACCCCCCGGAAAGGGTAATAACACGTTCGTTCCAATGAGTAAACATCTGTGGTCCGGAGTTTTGCAAATATATCAGCATCCTTGTGCTTGAATCCGTATTTTAAGCGGAGGTCACTAACCCACTTAGCTCTTTACCTATGTTCTCAATTCTTTAAGCCCCGTAGTAATTTCATTCTACCTCTATGAAGCAGAAACATGAACTGATACTTCATCTACATTGAATAAGCGTATTGTTCCTTGAGCGAAGTTTTCTGAAGATGAACCTCAAGAAAAATCACCAAGCTAGTTCCCGATGTTTAGATCTTCGAATGACATCCCGCCTTTGAAAACGCTCTGACATACCTCTGATGAGGGTAAAAAGCTATTATGGTACGATTGCGTAGGGATCTCTCAAAAATGAGATGTTTTCGCGATGTGGAAACTGTAAAAAAATCCACGACTTAACCCACGTGCGAATCAGAGCACTTCTTTCGATGAACGAAAAGTCGAAACAAGTCGTAAAAGAATTTGAGCTCACATGACTAGAAGCAGATCGAAAGCAGTCATGTAAGTACCTGTTGTATAACGCGGACGGAACGAAACGATAGGCCTAATAGACTCTGATTCCTCAGGCAAATATTTTCCGTGTATTTTTGAACCCCACTGGTGCTCAAGTAACTTCTTACGCAAAAATGGTGCCCTTGGGAATGTGATGAGACTAACGACAGGAGGTTGTTCTACTGGTAATGTATTCGCAGCCATGAAGGCGTTCAAAACTTCACCCGGGTAGTCGTGGAGGGTAAATATACGACATCAAAAAGTCGTCGTCTTAAGAAAACTGTAGTCGCAAGAAGAAGAACATTTCACGGATTCACAACTCTTGAATTCCGAACGTTCTGTAATGCAACTCGCGCAAATCTTGAAAATTATGGTCAAATAGAATTTGTTCTAGAACACTCACAATTCGTGATGGTAGTCCAATTACGTATCTAGACAAAATTAAAATAATGCGTCCCTCAGGAATAGTACGACGTTCTTTGTATCCCTCATATGAATGGAGGTCGCTAAAACTAAAGCAACGAGCATGAACGGAAACTTTAGTGGTGTATCGTCGATACACTCGACAATTTTGAGGACCATAGGCAATCCAGGTGTTGTGGCTCCAATTTGTAATTTAATATTCATCTCGTAACTGCAAACTTAAGAAAAAAGGAATATTAAAAGTATTACTTGGTCCCTCTGCAACTGGTTCTCCATTTGCTCACGTTTTATATCATTATGTATATCGGCGAGCTTTTTGGGACCCTGGTCGACTCCTTTTCGAGGTAACCAACGATTTTGCCGCAATTCAATTACGTTCATTACCATAAACCTAAAACCAGGATACGAATGGATGCTTCATAAAATTGACAACAACAGGTAAAATAAACCAGAACAGTAAAGTTACCTAATTTTGTTACTGCACATATTCGATACGCACTCCAAATGTTGAAGAGTTTGATCAAGATACTCCTTTCCGTTGAAGTCCTGTGTGAATGAATCCAGCTGTTTTCCAAGGTTTTCAATCAGTTGAATGGCACATTGTAGAGATTCCTGAACTTCCAAATAACGTAAACGGAATTTTTTCTATGTCACTGTGCTAAAGTTCAACTAGTACAAAGGTGTGAAAAACGAAATTACAAGAAAATAACGGTGCCATATGATATCAAACGGTTTACTGTCATGTACTGCGTAGTCAAACTAGGTAGTAGAAGTTGGTAAAATACCATGATATGACATTTCGTACTAATTATTACGCTGGAATTTCAAAAATGAACATATGCTCTGTTTGAACACTAAGACAATAAGCAGTTTCAAGGATGTTGCTATTTCAATAGCCACACAAAACGGTAAACATGGGATGCACTCAATAGTAGTTAACAGAGTTTTTTATCCAAACTGATTAGAACAACAAAGTACTCAATATAACAGCTCCTTACAGGACAAAAAAAGACGAAGTATTGAGCAATCAGTTAAGATATGGGTAAATTACAAGAAATACCTCGTCAAATGGCGGTTCCGGAAGTTTCTTTGTCTCAGGATTTCGATGCGAATGATTAATAAGATCATACAAGCACCACTGAACAATTTTCGTGGACAAAAGTGTTTGTCGATACAGTTGTCCAATGAACCTGAACATTTATACTCAAACGAACCAATATTTTGAGTTTAGAGTTATACTTGTTTTCCTCGATTATTACAAACGTTATGTTTCCGAATTTTCTTCGGCGAAACTTGTCATCGGCCTCCTGAAGATCAATTTGTAACTGAAGTTTTTTCTTGGGGTCCTCTTCCTCGTCGATGGCCTTCACCTACAACAATTTTGTGATTACATAACGTTTACAGGCGTAAAGTGAATAAATTAATGTTGTCAAAGATATAAGTTAACAAAATGATGGGTTTTCAAAAACATGATAATGACTTAATACCTTAATATTTCGCTCTTCTTCCCATGTCTTATTCACAAATGTCTCTTGAGCACGGTTAAGAAGTGCATTTCGACACAGAGAAAGTTTCGAATTCTCTTTCAGTTCTTTATCCACCTAAAACAACAATCCAGAAAATAACATTACTTCATGATGACAATATCACATTTTCTTAACGTGCACGTGAACCATCTAGAAAAAGTGTTCGATAACCTCAATGTAGTAACTATAATGAACGAATGCGCCTAAAATGTTAGACGAAAAAGTGTTAGGCGTACAATTTTAATTCATTACCACTTTCAGCAGTCACAGACCTGTTGTTTACAAACTTCGGCATAGATCGGGCAGAACTTCGGTTCTTCAACGGCTTTATCGAAGATGATATTAATAACCTAAAAATATTATCTGCAAAAATGAAACTGAGAAAGGGAGCAGAGGAGTGGAACTAACAGCAGCTAATTGCTCTGGACTAGATGATACATTGTAGTTCAGGAACTCTTTAATGAGCTCATCTTTCGTAGTAGGTGTGATCTTATTCATCAAAGAACGGACTTTCTTGAGAAGAAGCTGAATACACCAAATATACACTTTTGACTAAGTCCAGTTTCCGTCATAGTGCTACCGATAAACTACTTGCCTTGGTTCTAGCCTCTTCCTTTTCTAGATCTTCTGGTCGGATCTTCTCCGCTTTCCACGCATTTTCAGCTTTATGGAGTGATACAGCTCTTTCGATGTTACGTTCAATAGACGGTCTAGCAGATGGAGGGAACTTTTTGTTTCCACCACCTTTCCCCCCTCTGTGATCGTTGTGAGAAAATCTACCGCCATACTAAATTAGAAATGATCACTCAACAAAGCTACACTTACTAATAAAACAAAAGGAGATGTGTATAATACATACGATACAGAGAAAACAAGGTGGAAGTCATAAACACATTTCACTCGCTCATTGTTTCGTGAGTCAGAAACGAATTATTTCATATTTTTGGTGAATCAGGAAGTGGGAAGGTTAAAGATTTGCAACGAGCCCGCGCAAGTACACACCTATTAAGTTTGAAAAGTCACGGCATGAGAATTAAGATCTACTCCCTCATATTAACAATAGAGGTATTGCATTAAAATTCAACTATTATTTGAATTATGCATTTAACTTTTTGTTTCACAAATCATTTGTATAAATTGAACATGACTGCGGAAAATTAGAAACCGGTCGATTCGATGGTTTGTTGGATTGTCGAGATTGATTTGCCCATGGAGGGATAAAACTGTGTTGCTTTTTATTATCGCCTCCTTTGGGCATCGAATTTAAGTCGATGCCAAGTTTAACGATCTTGTCTTGACTCAGAGGACATGGGCAACGTTTGCACTCCTAAATATCACCAATGTACTCCAGCATAAAGAGGAACTTAATAGTTAACATTCTCTTTCTAAAGAACTAATCAATAATTAGCTAAAAAATTACTTTTTCAAGGTCTCTAACACAATACAGAAATGCCCTTCCATAAATCAGATTTTCTTTGTCCACTTCTGTTGGATTAGCCAATAGTGAATGCAACAGAGCTTCAAGCTCAACCTCACGCTGTCTTTTCCTCTCTTCTTCTTCCTTAAGAAAAATAAAGATTTACTATTTTATTGGGGCTTTTCACTAATCACAATAAGCAACACACGTGTGACAAAATGAAGAATGGATACCTCAGCCTTACGCCTTTCTTCTTCTTCAGTGTCTGGTGTGGGAACATCCGGTGTGTCTACAGCGTCAACTGAAGACTCTTCTGCCTCCACATCCAGAATGGACCCTTGGTCGTTCGTACTTGGGGCTACCGTCTCAGCAGTATCACTGTATAAAAAACAATTACAACAACGTACGAATGTAGAAAGGGAATAACTGAAACATATCGCCCCAGTAGCGTTATGTACAATGTAGCTAGTGCGAAAATGATGGCCACTTTCAACTTCAAACAAAAATGTTTCAGCTCACATCATTTTTATCAACCGGAATAAATCGTTATAACGCTCTGATCTTTAAATATACGATCTTTGTAGCATCCTACCAGGCTAACATTTTGATTTCCCGGAACCTATGAAGAAATCTTTGACTTTATTGCATCAAAGATCATATTTCGAACACGAAAATGAATAGTGGGAATTGAATCAGTCAGAGCACAATGGTCTTCCTCTACATATCGCTCATGTTTCCAATAGCGCTCTTATATTAGAAATGCTAAAAACTTAAATTTCGCCGTGAATTTTTGAAAGTTTTAACTCTCGACATATTTAAATTTGAAAGGATACTACACAAAAACTTCACGTGCGATGACTGCGATAGAACAAGTGTCCTCCTATAAAACTGTAAATTTCTGAACCCCAAAACTACTCGAGATCGAGAAATTATCGTCGGTTGTCGGAAAACTAGTCTGAGACATTGTGCGTTAAAAGAAACCAACACATGGATACCGTTTTAATCACGTTTCGTAATTCAGCAAGCAGCCACCGTGGTCATTTATACTAAATGGTGACAACAGGGTAAACATGTGTTTAATAACCCCGGTGCCAAAAACTCTTTTCTACGAATGCTTGATGTGGACGGAAGTCATGTGAAATGATTTTGTCCATCCTTAGAAAAGTCGATGCGCGGCGATCAAATACTAGAACAACATTTAAGGACGAGTCTTTTACGGAAAACTCTAAGTTCACAGGAACTCAATTCTATATTAATGCCGCTAGGCTACTGCTTAACCAATGCAATTTTCCACAAAAAATCCTCTTGTACCATTTCAAAAAGAACTAGAAGAAAAAAACATACATGTTTGACGTTATTTTATGTTCTTGACCATCTACAGGGGTATCCGACGCAACACAAATATGTGTAGTCTCGTTTTCCTCACCGAAAGCCTAGAACAGTACTTTCCTTTTACTGTTGCACTCACAATAGAAAGGTTACTACTTTGATCATTAAATATGTACTGTGGAACGGCTGCCAAATACAGCGATCAATTTTCGCGGTACACTCCTATCCAGATGGAACTTAAGGCAAAACTCATAGACTACCAGGGTTAAAAGAAATAAAAAAGGATAAAACTCTGCCTTGATCATTTCCTGAGAGATGCACCATGCATTCGACCTCATTAAACATCGTTTCACGGGGTGATTGAATGCATACCTGGCCTTTACAACGACTCGCGATAGCCAACCGATGTATCGAACCAGTGCTGCTATCCTCCCGGACAAGTATGGTACGAATTTGCCGACCTCGGAGGGATGGGAGGCTCGGTGGGCAATGGGCCCGGGAATCGATTCCACGTGTATTGCAGGGCGCCTCCGACCACTGCGCCACTACTGTCAGGGTCAAATGCAAAAATAAAACTGAAATTATATACCTCAGCATTGGCACTGGATGCCATCACCGATGCTTCTTCACTGAGAGGAGGATCCGACCTTTCAACCGAAGTATTTTCTTCTATTACCGGTGCTATACTTGAAGTGTCTGTGTCTTTGTACGTAGACTGATCGGTAGGATCTGGAGAACTGCTCACTAGATCAGTTGCTTCAGTCGACACGTTTGGCACTTCTTGAGCTGTACTACAAGATGCGGCCATTTCAGTAGGTGAATCTAAATACTGACATGAAAAGCTTCTATGAATTCCCGACAAACACGCTGAACACCACTTGATTTCGTTGAATTTGAAACGGTGGCAGTCGTTTCAGCTTGATCGATTTCACTTCGCTCCTGAAGTTGTCTGGTAAACTGCCTCATCACTTCAGATTTTTTCTGCTCGTTTTTGTCTACATCCTTTCGCCCTACAAAAGTTAGAACATATATACACATATATTCGAATATATAGTATGCATATACATGTATATGCGGATGTGTGCATATATACCCACATCCATGGATGAACATTGAACTTTTTCTACTGCAATTAATTTCATTAAGAGATGAGATATGTTTACTTAAACACGAAAATGCTGTCGTTTTTTGGTTTTTGCATTTTATGGCACTGAAATCAAGGAATGTTGCCACGAAACAACAGCAACTGAGAGAAAAGTATTAAAAGATCGTTAAAAAATAATGAGAACTAAAAAGTAATAAAATCTTATAAAAAATCCCCCATAGTAAAAATGCAGTCATTTCCACATGTTATCGACTTCTCAGATACTCCAGCTCTCAGGAAATCATTATCCACTATAGAAAACTAGCTAAAGAGAGAATTTTACGAAAACAGCAGATTAATTCGATGCGTAAAATATAAAAATTCGACACAGAACGTAGTATACAATACTGAAATTAATGATTCAAGAAAGTAGAAAATATGATACTTGAGATCCGAAGGTGTTGCTTACTTATCCATGTGCTCCTGCTTTTTAGTACAAATTCTACAAAAAATCTTAGTCTTGAGAAATCTGTTGCAAGTTTGCTTGGTTTCTGCTTTAGTCTAAACGTGAAACACAGATTTGTACGTTGACTGATGAAAATTTGTCCAAAACAACTTAAAAATGGAAAATTAAAGACGCCTGATTTGAAGGAGACCAGATTATTCTACCTTAACCACCGGTCAAGAGCGCATGTTACACATACCCTGAACAAACAACAACTTGGATAACGATGACTTGAGAGGAGAATTCAATAGAAGAAAACAGCTTGTGTAGGAAGCAAGCAGAGGGTGCGGTACGACTTATACATGCCGACCTATATCGTACCTATTTTATGCAACTCTCCTATCTTTTTTCTGTGCTCTGCAGCGGAAATAGGAACTGATATTGGTGTTCCTAGTCGAGAATATTGGAAGAACATTCCAACTTCGATGCACAGTGAAAAAGGTCTTGGAAATAGGTATCGGTGGCGACACCATGAGGAGCGAAAACGACACACTTAGGAGAAAAACTAGGTGGACCACAAAAAGCCAAAGCGAACTAGATTGGGACCTCCAAAAAGAAGTTCAAACATATTCGTTACATAAACGGATAATTGTATTTACGTTCTATTCGCAGATGAAATCAATTCGTAGATACTCAAGCCGCGAAACAAGCCCATGGGTTCAGTTTGTCCAACGTCGTGCAATCAGGGTTTTAGTTTCCCATCTCCTCCTAGTTAGAAGCTATTATAGGACCAATACTTTGATGAAAAAGAGATAACTCAGATTCTGGTAGTGCCATCGAACATATGGTGCTTGAAATTCACGACTGACTTCTTTTGCTCTGAGTTCTCTAGATTTCTGCAGCGAAGTTCAAAAAACGCAACTTTAGGTGTAGAACTTTAAGTAATACTTTTTTCCAAGTACTAAACAATCACTCGGTAGACTACAGCCATTAGTGATTTTTACTTAGACACCATCATGCCTCTAAGAAACCGGCATTTCCGCGCTTTCCAACATGACCAACTTGACCGATTCAATTATTCAACGTGTACTTTCCATATAAAGAACACCCTCATTAGGAAAGCTGAAAACAGTTTGCGTAGTCAAAAAACCCTTTCAATAATATGTCTACATGTAACCCACACTATTTTCCGAGCAGTAATGTTTCATCTGCAACATGAGTTAAACTAACACCATTTGCTAGTTATAAACGTCCTCAGCAGAAGATTCCGAACATGTTGCGCACTATAACGTTTTATAGGGGATGAGAAATTTTGAAAAAATTAGGAAATTTGAAACGCAGCGATCAAAAAATCACTTGTGAGTATTGCTTCTTTTTACATAAGCCGTCATTACACCTGTTTTGCAGATCCCAACACTTCTTGCATTCGATTCGTTTTCCTCTGACTCATCGCTCACAAGTCTCCGAACATTTCGCGTGTTGTTTCAGCTGCTACTTAAGGATTTCGCCTTCTTTGTAAATGTAGAATGCTGATCGAGCGAATTCTCCTTGCAATAGAGATAGCGACGCTATGGATGGGGTATCCACGTACACTGGAAAGAAGCGTCGGGGCGGGGATTGAATTAGCACTTTCTTAATCGACGGCATCACTGCCCTAATCCGCTGTTCTGAGGTTTAGAAATATTGCATACATGCATTACTGAGACACAAATTTTGCAAAAATGACATTTAATTATGGAAGAGATGAACCAAATTCTTAGATGATTTCATTTCATTTCATATCTGTGGAACATCCGAATTCCGCTGGAGCAAAACAGTAGCAAGTCATTTATACACCATATGTTCAAACTAAAGATAACCATCGTTTATGTAGAAAAAACCGGTTCGAAACACTATCGTGTTATCGCCTCTAAATAAAACACAAGGTAAGTACGTCTTACATAGAAGCTCTAAACCTTTTCTGCTAAGACTGCGATAAAACCATATTTTTGGCCTCATTATTTTATGGAAAATAATGTTCAAGGAGGACTATCTCGGAGATTTATGGTCTTCCGATTTTTAGAAAACCAAGGGTTTTCAAGGAAGCTATCAATCTGAGCTATTATAGAGTCCACATCTAACTCAAAACGAAAAAAAGGATACTTCAACTAAAAGTATCTAAAGCGTAAATCGCCTTACTTGCTTGATAGTTGAATGGTCTGTCCTCACCATTTGTACGGGCCCCAGCATAATCTCCACTTTTCGGAGATTTGCTGGTTAAGCCATTGTGGCTCCCTGGAATCCCGAGGACAGCCTGGCCAAAGTCTGCCCCAGGTTGTCACCACGATAACTAGTCGCAGCCCATGTGGAACAGAGGGAGATTTTCTACTATGCGACATGATACCAGGACGGTGGCGGATCCTGGTAATGATTTACTCTTAGCCAGGCTTTCTGATGGAAACGTCGGACTCCTTCTCAGCTTTGGAGACTCTGCCGGGGAGACGAATCTCCCCGCTGTACATCGCAGTCCTACACCCAGGAACACCTTCCAGCCACGAGGCGGTAAACCGCTGGGAGTAGCGTCAAGTCATACGTGTCTCAGTGAGTAAAATAAACCATCGAAAGCAACCAATGACTCCTAAATACTCATATGTACGAGAACTAGTGAACGTAAATCCAATAACAAACTGTATTTGATGTATGGATGAAAGAAAGACGAGAATTTGTGAGGAACAAACAACTATGCAAAGTTATGTGACGTCATTTACAAGTATTTACTGCGTTCCTAACAGTTGTCTATAAGAGTGAGGTAACTACTATCCAACGAAATTTCAACAAGGCTGTTAATGGTGAGACGTTAAAATGAATGGCGCAATAATCTGGTCTACCTTTAGCTTCATCTTTTCTATTTTCCGACGAAGATTCGGTCCTTGCACATAAATCAACCACTTCAAACGTGTTAGGATCTCGTATGGTAAGAATATTCTTGTTCCGATGTTGTTGTACTGGCTGAGGCGGCGGTTGAATTTGAATGGGGGTTGGATGCTGAAAAGATTTCAGAAAAACATTAGAACCACACACATCATGGTAAGCTGCAAAAGCAATATACCGAAATCTCCTGACTCATATACACAGTGCTCATAGCCGTTGTGTGTGGATCATAATCCATTCCAGGTTGCCGTGAGTATTGAGGTCCAGGGAAACTAAAAATAGTACAAACATTTAGATACCAGTGACTTACTTCTAACAGCTAAGCCAAGAAGTGATGATACAAAAATCTAAGCGGCCACTGTACATTAGTACACAGATTGGCACATTTCTTGGGAGGAAAGTACCAGCCTTTCGCAAACATCAGAGACTAGGCAGTTCGAAAAATTTTGTAGACAGAACTGAAGTAATAAACCTTTACAATAAAAAAAAAACCCGAAATATAAGACTACAGAACCAGAATGATGCTGAACTATTCGCAAAACTCCGGATCGCAAGGGTCGACGATGGTGATCGAACACGTTATTACCCTTTCCGGGGCTAACGCATTCACCATCACGCTGCGGGTCCTTCATCTCGCCAGTCTCTCAACTAGCTTCATACGTTTCATAAGATTACACAATCCACTAAATGTCAATCACTACTGACGTCAGTAAAAGTAAGAACGTCCCTATATATATACGATATATATTGAAACAAAAAAGAAAAGTGACTTGGACAGCCGCACTTCCTGAGATGTGCTACTCCGCGAAATGGTTCAAAAATCGATGCAGCTTACTCTGCAAAGTGCTCATGAGTATGATTGGCGGGAAGGTCATTAACCATGTGCTATGGTTTTTCAGCATCTGGTAATACAACTAACTGAATCGATCGGAACGTAATAGTCAATACCGGCTCATTGGGTATTAAACAATGTTTCGAAACGTCCAGTAAAGTACTGCAATAGCACAAACTTACAACTGTTGTTGTTGTACAAACATCTGCTGCGGTTGATAGTACTGCTGCGGCGGTTGAGCTCGCATGTGCGTTGGAGGCGCTAAGAAAGGCAAGATGAACATCGCAATATACAAAAATGTCCTGTACAGTGATGGTGTCTTCTTTCAACTCCTTCAACTTTACTATTTATCGATTAGAAAATCCATATATCGATCACTTAGGTCTACAACAAAACGTCTTTATAGGTACCCCACAATGGAGGTGTGTGGTTTACATTAATCTGACCATTGCCTGGCCTCGCCACGTAATGGCCGCCGTGCTGCAGAAACGACATACCGTATCCCATCGGATGAATTGTTGTGCCCACCGGCAGACGCATTCTGGAAGAAAAATCACTGAATAGATAAATCTAACACATAGAAGTTCGTAACCCAGTCAGATAACCCTCACGTGGGGCTTGTCATATCGTATTCCTGTTGCGGTGCAGCAGTAACATTCTGAATTGTAGGTGTTGCGAATGAGGGCTGAGGAGCACCCAATGGTACTGAAGCCGCACCAGCATGATGAGTTGAGATGGCGTTTAAAGCATCTAGAACATTAAAAATCGTTGTTAAGATACCCTATTAAAAATCGTTGTTAAGGTACCCTAGAAGCCTCCATAGCTCAATGGCCACACCTGTCTTGTAAACAGAAGTTCTGCAGTTCAATCCTGCATGGAGAAAACTTTTTATGGAATAGGCCTTACAAATGGTAAAGCGAGCTGTTAAGGTAGTAAAGGACAAAACCGATCACTCACCTTGACCGTACGGTTTTCCTTTACTCCGCTCTCTGGATATAGTACTTGACATAATATGAGTTATTAAAAACTGAAAAGAGAAATGATGATACGGACATACTCGTCATGATTCTTAGTCACCTAAAGGAATTCATAAGGCAGCAAACAACGTTACAACGAACTAAACACAGATTTACTCGGACCAATACTAAGAAGACAACAGGCATACATTAAGAACCTTAAGGGTCTTAAGAACTTACAACTACCATATCTTACATAAACAGATAATGGACTAATTAACAAAACACCAGATCAAAACGACCGCAACTCTCAACTGGAAGGAAATCAATACTCGAAATTCAGGGATGTTTTTTGTTGCGAGGTCCTGTATGGAATACAGCACGCAATCACTTGGCACGCTTCCAGGATTTCTCGTCCCTTAGCTAAGGCGTTCGGGAGCCTCTATTACTCTTGTTTACTCGTTAAGGTATGTGATTTCTGTTTAGGAGAGACTTAGGTAATCTAAGGAAGCCTTACGTACACTAGTCGCCGTGAAGCCAAGTTGCAAGGTGGGATTGTAGCGCGTTATGTTGGTTTATATAGATGTTTGGTTAGAGTAAACTGTTATTTCAGCGTGATATCGAATGCATGACGTTATCTCGTATCAATAGCGGTGCATTTGATGTTATATAAATGAAGCTCAGAGCGCTTTTTATACCTAAGGCCTATTTGACCTTAAGCGGCTTAAGCTACTATGTGGTAGTTCTAAGTAAATGCAGTAGCTGCGATAGTTCTAATATTCTTTGCTCGTTGGGTTTTGTTTATGCAAGGTGTGTCCTTAGTTTTATGAATACTACTTTAAGCATTTGGCGCCAGAGACTGACTATTATTGAATTAAAGCCCTTTAAGAACGACAGCATTTCAGTCCCCGTTTGGTCCTCCATCCGAGCATTTCGATATTGAGTAATACTACACAAGTTCTACATTAATGTCTATGTTTTGTAAGCAATGGTTTGCTATCCTTACTACCATACCACCAGTATCAGCGTAACATCCTTTACTCGTACTACTTTTGGTGAAGTCTATCAGTGTATTGGTCTATGGATTCCACCACAGAGAGTGCTACTACTGACCCAAAGTAAATGTTAGTGGCAATCCTAAACCACCTTCAATACCTTTGTTGTACTTCGTAAACATGTGGCTTACAAGGGTATTGTTAAAATCGAAGAAGAAAGTTCCTAGTGAAAAGGGCTTGTCATATGCCACATCCATAGAACTTATGTTACGCTTGTTAGACCATAAAGTCGAAGAGGGTGCAACTCTCGTGTTTTTATTCCTTTATGGTTGAGATACAAAGTGGGCAATATGGCACTAAACGCCGTAAAGGTGTTTGGACAGCGATATTTCATTATCACTAAGCGGAGAGGTTCCTTTGCTTTTGTATCCCGGCACTTCATTGTTTTCAACTGCCTTATACAAGTTTGTTTGGAATGTTATAGTGTTAGGTGTGAATTCTAGCTTGCTTTGGATGGGACTGGTGGCCAGTTGTGTTCTTTCGGTGACTGGAGACGAGCGTGTGTGTAAGTTTTGTTATGGTGATGATGATCAGAATGGTGGTTGGATTCGACCGTGTATGTGCAGCGGTTCACTAAAGGTGAGAGGAATGCTGAACTTTCAGCTTTACCACAAGATTTTTTAGTCAGATTGTAACGCATAGAGCCGGGTATCCTAGTAGTACAATGCATTAGGGACGAAAATAATGCTCGATTTCAACTTTAGATTGGTTAATCTCAGCTGATATTGAACTTTTTTCCATTTTACGTGACCTTTCACCACGTCTACTTTGCGGGTCCCAGCATTTCTCATATTCGATTCGTTTCTCATCATACTCATCTCCCAAATGGCCTTCGAGTATCTGGCGTGCTCTTTCGGTTGCTGGTTGAGGATGTCTTTTTACGAATGTCGTAGAATACTCGCCAAGTTGATTCTCCTTGCGATTTTGAGGATAGCCGGGTTCAGGCGTTCCCACATAGATTAGAGAAGAGCGTTGGTTGGAACTAGCACCTTCGCTTCCTGATCGACGGCATCGTTAACCACTGCGCTATCTCGGCCCCGATATTGAGCGTTACAAGTAGAAAGTAAAAGGCGCTAAAAGTTACTGGTCTTTGCTTGCAAAATGCATATTCGGATATCCTACTGTGATGAAATTCTGATTTTATGGAGCCCACGAAGTATATTTCTTCGCTTTTTTTGTTTAACTTTGTGTATGGGACATCAGAACCATTGAACAAACGGTGACCCGGATGGTGTGGTGGTGAAGTGCGCTGCTCCCCGGTAAGGACAACAGCGCGTGTTCGTTCCCCACTGCATACACCTGTGGTCCGGAGTTTTGCAAATATCTCAGCATTTCATATGAACAAACGGTATTTCATCCAGCTGGATACGGTGGTGCTCTTCAGTCGTTGTTTGTGCTGTCTCTCTTACGTAGGAATTTTAAAAGACCTAAATTTCAATGCTAAAGCGATGCGATTTCTACTTAATGTTGCCGTGAGTAACCAGTACTTTTCTTTATAACACTCTACATTTAAACTTCTCGTGCGATTTTTTGAGAAGTTCTCTTCTAAAAGAATTTAATAAGATCTGCGTATACGCTTAAGGCGTAGCAAAGTTCTCTCTAAATTTATGAACTTGTCAATACCTGAAATACTCTAGCTATGAAGAAATTGTGGACACTTGTCGAGAGATCAGTTCTGGACATTTTGTGCTAATGCCGTTTGAGGCTGATGGATGCGTGTACCGCAGTGGTCGGAGACGCCCTCCAATGCACATACGATCGATCCCCTCCGCCGCCCCAGAGCTCACCAAACTCGCTATCCCACTGGGTTCGGTAGTTAGGTACCAGACTTGTCTAGGAGGAGAGCAGCACTGGCTCAATTCATAGTTTGGCCACCACGAGTCATTATATAGGTCAGATAAGCATTCAGTCACTTCCAACGATGCTTGATGAAGTCGAATGCATGGCGCATCCTCAGAGACTGACCAACGCCGAATGTTTTATTTTTTTTTTGTCTTTTCCATTGTGCTTACCAAATTCTGTATTAAGTTCTTGATTTTTCGTGTGTCTTCCTGTTCTACACGTTGTCATTACCATTTAGTGGGTTCATTTACGGTGTTTCGAACACTGGATGGAGAAGGCACCTGCACAACAACAAATGCAATGTCAAACATGTCGGTTAGTGGAAGTCTTTATCAGTACAAAATATTGCCGTTGTAGACTACTACTCTCAAATTTTTTGTGTAGCTGTGAAATAATCTTACTAAGGTTCAGGTTTGTTTATGTCAAATCGTGGGTGTTAAAACCGTTTTCGGAATGGTGTCGTCCAGCAATTAAGCTTTCTGCATGGGAATGCATTGAAATCTTTCTCGACACATACTCGACATACAAATTTATACGTGGATTCGTTTTAATTATGGAAGGGGAAAGGTACATTGACAATTCCATTTGCATAGAAGATCTCATAGTGTGGTTTTACTAGGTCCGTCATTGTCCAATCCCTACATTTTATATTCTGGCGTGTTTTTATCGCAACCGATCGCCGTTTGGCATATTATGCTTCTCTTGGCAGGCTTATCCTATCGTCCATCTTCGTAATATCTGTCAGGGACTGTATTCCTGATTCTGAGAGGTTAGTTGTTGTGGAAACAACGAACTTACTACCACTGATTTTATTTCAATGAGTTCGAGCTCTCGCCATTTTTTGTGAAGAAACATTTGCTTGTACTTTATACTGTTTGAGAATACGGTTCATCTAATCCGTATCTGTAATACTTTATATGTCACATACTACTCGTTGTATCTTGTGAAATCAACCCTGGGAGTTTTATCCGGAATATAGGGCGCGTGTAGCTTACCACCGTCCCAACGGTTTACCGCTTCATCGTGGCCGGGGGGTGTTCCTGGGTGTCGGACTGCGATGTACACGGGGGGAGGAGGATTCGTCCTCCCGGCAAGATCTCCCTAGACCTTGTGCTTTAATTACCGCAAGTCTTGGCTGAAACCAAAGAAGGACCCGCATGATGCGATGGTGAACGCGTTACTCCCCGAAAAGTATAATAGCGCGTTCGTTCCCCACCATAGACACCTGCGGTCCAGAGTTTTGCAAATATCTCAGCAACGTTGTGGTTGGTATGTATTTCGCTTGGTAACCTGCCATGAAAATTATATAAGGCAGAAAACAAAACGTTAAACATTGTGATTTCAACTACAGCCATAGCTTAACTGGGTTCTATGCCGATTTGCGCTCTCCAGATCAACCCCGCTGACGGGTGATTGCTGTGGCAAAGATCGATAGAAATGGCTGATAGACAGGCGAAACGAAGGACCCGCATGATGCGGTGGTGAACGCGTTACTCCCCGGAATGGATAATAGTGCGTTCGTTCCCCACCATAGACACCTGCGGTCCAGAGTTGTGCAAGTATCTCCACAATGTTGTGGTTGTATTTCGCTTAGTAACCTGCCATGAAAATTATATAAGGCAGAAAAGACTGCGATGTACACGGGGGAGGGGGATTCGTCCCCCCGGCAAGATCTTAACAGAGTACGAGTCCGGCATTTCCATCCGGAAGCCTAGCTAAGAGTAAACCAATACCAGGATCCGCCACCGTCCTGGTATCAAAGTCACATGGTGGTGATTCTCGCTCTGATCCACAAGGGCTGCGACTGCCCGTGGTGGTGACGACCTGGGGTAGGCTATGGCCAGGTTGACCTCGGGATTCGATGGAACCGCAGTGGCTTAACCAGCAAATCTCCGAAAAAAGGTGATTATGCTGGAGCCCGCACAACCAGTGAGGACGGTCCGTTCAAATATCAAGTAAGTAGCTCACCTCACCTACCATCCTTCTAGGGTCGGTAGATTGGTACCAGAGTTGTCTGGGAGGATAGCAGTGGTGACTGGGTAAATCGGTAGGCCACCGCGAGTCATTGTGTAAGCCACATGTGAATTTAGCCGCCTTGAACGACGCTTGATGAAATCGAATGCATGGCACTTCCCTCAGAGATTGGTCAGTGCCAACGGCTTTATCCTTTTCATTATTTATCTTGTGGAAGGTGCTGAGCGGTTCCTGTTAGTAAGGACGTCCTTCATGTGACAGATGCCAAGCAAGTTACTGGCGCAACTGCTCGATGAATATCCCTTTGTTGATAGGGAACTCAACGAGCATGTTAATCCAGGAGTGAGCTGGCATTTCTTGTGGTAGGTTAACCTGTCTTGCTGACCTACACAGAAATATTTTCACGTGTGTGTAAGCGTGTGGTACTAAAGAAGTTCAGTGTAGTTGGAGTTGTTGTAAAAATGGTTGTGGCAATGAAAGTTTCGTATGAAACGCCCAGCGTTCGCGAATGGCACTTTTGACTGAAAATTTCGGTTACAATAACTTTTTTGGAACAGAAGCGCATAGTATTTTTCTCTTGTCTAATGCATATTAACCGTGGCCAGAAGCAGTATTGATGAACAGTACTGCTGATGTTAGCTCAATTTTTACGAAAAATTACTGGAACTCGATTATACGTGCGTCACGAGAGATGTTTATGTGGTATTATGTGGTATTGGAATTGGTAATGCTACATGATACACGCCGATTATTTCTAGTAAACGCAGAAAGTCTGCATAGGCAGCAACATGAAACATCGCATTTTTCGTTCTCATAAAGAAAGTAGGCATCGCTTATCTTAGGAGGTGAATTTATCAGTCTCCACGTAATTCTCTGTCAATCTGCTCGTTCTCTTATATCGCTCTGTTTAGGACACCAGTCGACGACTAACGTGCTCAGCTTCAAGTTAGGCGTCATGCAACAATGGTCTCGCATTCTGACTGTGTTTAGAGTCTCCAACTGTACATGGACATGCGATATTTGCGTATAGGTTTGTGCTTCATGGTATCCAACTGCAGCTACTGATGAGAACTTCGAGATTATTCATATTTGTTTTGTTTAAAGTATTTAACCTCTGAGATGCATTGTACGTCGATCGCAAATAATTTTAGGTTTATAGGGTCTCTAAGCTGACGTGAACACTTGCTGTCGGGAACTAGCTATTGATAGCGTACCAATACATTGTTTGTACTTATTCACTCCATTGATGTCGCATCTAACCATTAGTGTCGCCGCCGTTTTGCATGGTATGGAAATATGGTGACACCTAATTCCATGCTGTCACAGACTTGCTGGTTTTGGACAATTCACAGTAATTTCTAGATAACTGAAGGCGTCGAATGGATGCAAACATGTTGGTATCATAATTTGAAAGTATTTTTGCTATTTCTGCTATTCATAGCCAAATAATTCTTTTGGAGAAAGGCTTCTGCTTATTTCTAAACTTAGAATCGAACATTTCCTGGCAGATGGGAGCCACAATGTCTGTGTGGGGTAGGCGTTGAAATTATTACGAGATTTGTTGTGGGATTACTCTATGCGATAAAATAAGCGACCAAAGAGCAAATGTACCATGCGTGACTCACTTCGGCCTATTTGCCCGGAATCGCGTGCATCATGTGTGACTCACGGCGGCATCAATGGTGAACAATGTAATTAGTCATTTGAATTTCCAAACCATAGTCGTGTTATTTAACAACGTTTATTTCGATGTTTTTCTTCAATAAGCAGACACGAGGTTGTTATTATAGAATTTACTAGGATACAATAGCTAAATAAGATAAAATCAAGATAAATTATTTACAGATAGGTTGGACCTATTTCCTAATTGAAGGCTATGGGACTTGCTGAACAGTTTCACATGCCCCAACTATCACATTGGCAGGATTCAAATCAAACAGATAGCCCTGATGAAGAAATCTTGTGCGATATGCATTCGCCCCTTCAAATTTAAGTGGAGTCTGGACGAGAAGGCTCAAATGAGGCTGCGGGATGTCGATTAGCTTGGCTTGATCAAAAGCTGGAGTGCTTGCAATCCTGACTTCGAAGCTTTGTGGCAAATTTGCCATAAGAACATTGAACCACTCAGGGTGCTTTTTAAAGATTCTCAATGGTGTCAAGTGATCATAAAGGCCAACCAGTATGAACTCTGGATTCATGACACCAGGGTATGTACTATATTGACCTTCTCGCATACTGATGAGCACACCTGACCTCCAGAGGGTTTGGAAACGACATTCATCCCCCATTAAATCTGAGCTGAAAGATGAGTTGAGGATGTTTAGAACTCTTTGCCCATTAGGAGCACGAAGGTTTGCATTTTGAGAATGGAAAAATGCAAAGAGTGCTATGTTATATACATATAACATAGCTTTTGCAACTGCAATCAGCACTTCGAATTCTTTCACTTGAGGGAATATATGTAGAAGCCCTTCGGCCGCAGTCCACAAAGGAAGTTTGTATTCCTCACATATTTTGATAGCGATTGGAGGCGGTTTCTCAAAGAGGATTTTCATTACGAGTGATGGGAAAATTGCAGCGATTCTACGTAGAGTGATAGCATTTGAACTACACCCGGGAGCAGTTCTAGGGTCCTTGACGATCGAAAGTCCTGCCTTTAATCGAATGAGATATTGTCTGCCAGCTGGAACAGTCCTTCATATGATTTTATCTATGTCGTTGCCTCTGTGCAAGAAGACAAAGATCAAGACCATAATGTTTTTAACTAAATCAATCTGAGCGGCTGCCGCCTTTTCCTTAAACATCCTAAAGAAAGCCTTCGGATTAAATCTATCATAAGAGGAAGTTTTCTCGTCATCAAATAAGGTTCCTATCAGGGAGATCGCATCAATATTACTCAACAGATTTTCTATCACAAGTGCCCCCAGATTATCATGAACGGGTTCATTATATGGACTTTGGACCCATTAAATTTTATTGTTTTTAAATCTTTGGTTTCAATGTTTAACGTTTTGTTTTCTGCCTTATATAATTTTCATGGCAGGTTACCAAGCGAAATACATACCAACCACAACGTTGCTGAGATATTTGCAAAACTCTGGACCGCAGGTGTCTATGGTGGGGAACGAACGCGCTATTATACTTTTCGGGGAGTAAC